CGCCGATATTTTTTATTACAAACATGATTTATGAGGAATTCGAATTTCGAATAACGATAATAAACGATAAAAAGGTTTATCAAAAAGTTTCGACTTTGAAATGTTCATTCACAATAGTTTACTCCATTGTACCAGTGTATATCCAATATTACAACTAGATTGTACTTGACACGGTCGTTTGAATAATGTATAGAATAATAGGATATGGATTGACAGAACATCATACGAGTTGTATCGTCTTTGAAATGTATAAATTATATCATTTCGAGGATGCACATACATAACGCATTGACAATTGTACTGCATTCAATTTTGTTCGAATATACGATTGTTGCTGGTACATTTAGATTTATCGAACTGATAATAATTTGTAATTTATATTATTCATTTTAAGAGAAACCATAAACTATCATTTTTATTAGTTGGTCAAAAAACAGAATAGAAATATAATGAGTTTTCCATAATCACACTCGTATACAATTCTTAATTATAATATATTCTAATACTATTTAATCACTAAGTGATGTACAACCGTAAATATCGTATAGATTAACTTCACATTATGAACGAATATAATTATGTATTGGTGCGCTTAAGGAGAATTTATCGGAAATTGCATTTACGAGTATATGGGAAAAAATAGTTTTGAGCTATGGGTTGCTTGTATAACTTTTTTCAATTCACTTTTGCTAGTAAATGTTTTATTTTAAGAGGTTGTTGATTTTAATAATCACCGATTAAGGTATGTGACTATAATTATAAAACATACAAATATTCTTAGAATATACGACGATTTTGCGCTTTTTTTCCGTCTACATTTTTTTTTTTTTTTACATCAAAATAGTATTTTTCTAATTGAAAATAGTAAAACATCTACTGAGCAAGGACGGATAGTACAGCTAGTATAGTATATAAATAACTATATAAGAAGAAATATACATTTTAAAGTACTATAATTTAAGTACCTAATAAATAACAAGTAAATGAAATATATTATAATAGGAAGGAAAATAATAAAATATTAGTATATTTAAATGTATAAATGCATATACATGTTTTTTTATATAAAAAAAAAAATGTAATATAAATAATACGCATATTAAAGTTTTTTTTTTTACACACATGAACGTTTTCGTGTTAATAGGCCTATTAGTATTACTAATGAATCATAAATGCGTATTTTATTTAAATTAAGATAAACATGTTTATAAACTAAAAATAAAAATGTATTATTTATTGTAAAAAATAAATAACTTCCATTGGTTATTAATTTATTGGTTATAATTTTCCATGTCGGACGAAAAGCATTACGATGATTGAAAGAAATGTAAAAATAATCAACACTTTTAACTGTATAATAATGCACACGAAATTGAATCAATTGTAAAACAAAGAATATATTGTTAAGACTATAAAATAAATTATTATTTTTTCAATAAATGTCCAACCGAGATCGTTCAATAAATCATGCCCTTGCACTCGAGCGGCCAGGACACGAATTTAAATTTTTATACCTTGTACGCTGTTAAAATGCAAAAAAAAAAAAAAAATAAATCGATTGAACGGTTTCCAAAACGGCGAAACGTGTTTGTACACTGTAAATTCGAAATGCGAACATTTACTAATTTGGCTGTACCTGTACATTATTGGCGCGAAATCGGACGGATATCAGCTTGAAATATTCAGGAACATATTTCGCGAACAATAAAATAAACTATTATTCATAACAGTCGTTATGTACACTCACGCAGCTGCGGGGTCCGGAGGAATTTTTGTTAATAAAACATAATTTCGTCCGGACATCTGCGTACACGCGGTGCGAGGGGGCAGATAGATGGAAATCTGTACGACATGGTGTTAGCCGCTTTGTCCGGAGAACGCGATTCGTATCTTTTCCAGGGCAAATTAATGGCCATATTACAACAGTACAACAGCAAGGCTCACCGAACCCTAGAAATTCTTCTCGTAAATCTGTCGGTATCCCGACCTTGGGTGACGCCGTTTGCTGCCGTTATGTACTGGTGACAAGTTTCATCATAATACTGAGGTGTGCACGCACAAACACACACACACAAACACCGGAGCACTTTTGCTTGTTCCCGCAATAAATCTGAAACGTGTTCTCGGTGGCGCGTTACAATCACACGCACTTGTTCGACGGTGGTCGATATTCTGTTGTTCTGGCAAAAAGGAAATGCGACAGAAACAGATAAAAAATATAAATATCAGTAAGATTTTTTTCGAGCCACCTGTTTGGAATTGCATGGCTCTTGGAAATCGGCCAACAATGACAGCCGAACATTTACACACGCGTCATCTCTCTCTCTCTCTCTCTCTCTCTCTCTCTCTCTCTCTCTCTATGGAATAAAATATAATAAATATATTATACTATACGTGTATGTATTGAGCGAATTTATTTTTGCGGCGGGCACCACATACTTTTGTTAACAAAGTACAGACACACGTGTAATTGCGCGGAGCACTAAAGAATCTCAACAGAGCTTCTGGCCGTCGAGCGGGAAAATCTCAACGCGCTTTACAACAACAGTTCATCGCGCGGCTGATCGTCGCCGATTGATTCCACGCACGCCGTATCGTTATTACGACCATGGACGTATTTTATATGTGAGATACACTTTTCAAAACACATTAGTGAGTAACTTTCAAAGCACAGATAGGAGTTAAAAAAGAACTAAACAAAAATCGATTCTAAGTAAATCCGGCATTAGATTAAAATAAAAAAAATCACAAATATTAAGGATTTATCTGATCATGGGCGTCCCCAGGGGGGGAGCAAGACAGGGCACTTGCCCCCCCCCTGGAATAATGTTATTTCCACAGAAATTGGTAAAATTCCAATTTATATTTTATGAAAAAGAATGATGCATAATAATATTTTTTAATGTTTTAACTGTAATAATAATATCTACCTAATTGTATTGTTTTAATTCATAATTTTAATAATGACGAAACATAATAATTTACGATAAATAAAATGTATAAAAAAATTTTCATTTATTTTTTAAATTAATTTTGCCCCCCCCCCCCCTAGAAAAATGTCTGGAGACGCTCATGTATCTGATTTAAATATTAGCAACAATTTTACTTGTAAATTTTGAGCCTGAATTAAAGAAAAAATTTGAGTCCCCCCCCCCCCCGCCATTAGAAGTAAATCTAAATACACCTCTGATCACGACCATCGTACACGTGCTCGGGCCGCGGATCAGTTTCGACGCGTCGAACCGGCAGGAACGTTGACCGATGGTGAAAACCGCCTAGACCGCAAGCAATTGATTTTAGTTGCCGCACGATTGACGCGAGCGCGCGCCCGTACAATATGTTTGTAATGCGTTTTGGCAATATTCCACGGTCCGTGGTACTTTGTTTTTTAGAAATCATATACGAGACGTCGAACGGTCCGCCGATGTATATATTTGGTAGTTTGAACGGTTTGGAGGCGCCTTGGTCAGGTTAGGCTACGTGTGTAAATAATGAGTTTTTTTTTCAATATATCACGCTACAGCATACTGTTCACGCGCATACAGTATTTTTAACGCGCATAAAATCCGCACACGTGCGAACGGTAAGTCTGGTAAAACGCGCACAAGGAAGAAACGTATGAACGCCGTGGATCCCCGGCGATACACGAATGTAGGTTTATAATGATCATTGGAGAAATGTGCGATGATCCTCGATCGGTTTGTTTAAACGAACGTTACGGTCAAAATTACCGAAAACGTCGAAAATACCACGTGACTAAAATTGTATTCGACACCAGTATGTATCTATAACTAGGTAAATTTATATGATGAGTTCTTTGTTTTTTCTTGCTAAACTTGTAAAAATGCGTGGGCTTACTTTTTGATTTTCATTTAGTATTTTACATTTATTCGATGTATACCGACTGTTTAATGATATAAACTACATCAATGGTGTTTTATTATTTTATAAATATGGTTAAATGTTATCTTTTTTTTAAGTAATTTAATAAAATCAGTATACATTTGATTTCAAATAAATAGTTAACACCGCAGAATACAAATAATAACGAGTGTTAAATTATGTGAAACAATATTAACTATGTATAACTTGAACGTATTATTCTTGTGTAGGTGTTTGGTTACCCTTATAGATTGACCTCTGTTTTATCTTAACAGTAAAGGTGTCGAAAATAGAAAATGTGCAATGGTATAGTTTTTCTCACTGATCATTTGTCTGTTTTTTAACACTAAAATAAGTTTTTGGAGTGATTTATGATGTATTGTTAAATAATTTTAAATATATTTTTTCGTCTGTGATTCTATGTATGTTTCGAAAATGAACCAAGCAGAAAAGCATAATGCAATAATATTTAACGTAATTATAGCTATATATTATATTATGGAGAAATATAGACGTATGTAATAGTGGTTAGTAAATCATTTTAAGCTTTAAGAAAATATAAATTTTAAACATTGTACAGTTAAAGCCGCAACTACTATTATTTTATTTGTTCACAAATGTATAATAGGTTACGAATGATGGATGTGAAATGCAGATATTTTAGTAACCATGTTTTGTATTTTTTGTCTAAAAAACCAATAATTTTAAACTTATTATAATTTTTCAATAACCTTAAAAGGAACTCTTAAGGGATAACGTTAACCAGATCACTAAATTGTTCAAGACCATAAACGTTCACTTAAAATATTGTAATAACCTATAGTTTATTATTTGAAATAACTGTACATTGACAATAAACCCAATATCGGTTATACACAATCGTTATATTTTTATAATATTAAGAAAATAATAGCTGTATAATGTTAAGATAGTTGTATCTTAAAAGATACAGCTGAGAATTTCGAGGATATTTTATAAGAACATATCATTATAGTTATCACATAAAAAATTAGATATTTTGAAGATAATATTGTATTCATCACATTGAAAACAAACCCTATAGGCGTATTTTTATCATTGAAATTAAAACATGTTCATATGGTAAACGAAAAACTTACCGCAATTAAGCTTTGTAACCGGTCAATTAGCATAGTCTTTGCGATGCCTTTGGCTGATTCGACGGTGTCCTTCGCAGCATAAAAACTACGAAGGCCCGTCTCCCGCCACTGACAGTCCCATGGCGGTACCTGGAACAATTTTTACCAATTAAGAACGACAAAATTATTATTATTTATTGTACATCGTTCAATAGCTACAAGATAATAAATTTACTTACATCTTAATACAAACTACAGAGGTATTTAAAATATATGCAAATATATATAGCACCTATTCAATACAAGTGAAGTTGGAGCTGTGAACGTGTTTCTTTTTGATTTAACTGGATAATGAAATAGATATGATAATTGGATAGTCACGTTTTACCTTTTAATAACAATAATGATAAATAACCCAAATCACCGTAACTGTTCGATGCCGAAAATATACGGCTTATGGGATGATTTTTATCACCATCGAACAATAGTTTTCGTTCCTAATTACAATTACAGGAATTTCAAATGAGCAATTAAAATGCGTTTTTAAACGTAACTCGGTGCATACACGATGTCTTAGTATATGTGTTTGGAACTTAAATCAATCCACATACATAATGAATGAGAAATGTAAATATTTGAATTAATACTACCTACGATCCACGTTGTTTAATTTATAACCCATTGGTGTATTTTAAGCTATGTTATAATATATAATATACATATTATTAATGAAATATATTACCATTTATATTACATAAAAATAAATGTTGTAAAAGAATTATTAATCTAACCCAAAATAAATAGTGAAATGTTATCTTTTAACTGCTTATATATTTCGAATTATATTTTCCCTGATATTATAATGCGTCTAATTAATCAAGTCTTACTTGGTTACATTATATTATGTTTGTGGTGAAATACTGGTAACGGTTATGTTAAGCAGTTTACATAATTTGTGAAAAATATATGACAATGTTATAATTCGTATGTTAAATAATAAATTCTAATATTAATATTCAACAAAAAAAAATATTTTTTTACTTGATTTATTAATTATGACTATTTAAATTTAAAAATGTTTCTTCAAGGCACACAACTGTATATAAAAACATATTTAAATTAGTAATATAAATATAAGGTACAATAGTATATTATATTATTATATAGAACAGTTGTATCATTAAATTAATTTATCAAAAACGCAAATTATTAGTTTTTATTTCGTAATAATTTTTAGTGTTTAATGCATATAAGATATTCCAAATACTAAATCAGTAATAAAAAATTTAATTCTGTGAAAATAACTACTATATAAAAATAAGTAATAAAACTAACAACAAATTGTAATGATTACGTTAAGTACCCACAATAAATAGTTTTATTCCTCAATTAATATTATAAATATGTTGGGCATTCATTGATGGCCAATAAAAATGAATAAAAAATAATCGAAAAATATTATTATTTTGTTACGAAAAACGAATTGATTTATTTATTTTATCACACCTAATAAATCGAAAAGCTAATAAATATCAACATGATTATATTTTGTCGAATTGATTTTCTATCCAGCAAAAAATATTTTACATATGATATCTATATACGTACTTATGGCTATATATATATAATATGAAAATGAATAATACATTATTTTCATATTAGGAAAGTCAACTCGTTAACTTTGTCGATGTTTATATTTAACATAAATACCGTAGGATACATAAATTTAATACGAATAATTGTTAAGAACGGTAATGTATTTCCCGAAAACCCATTATAGTATTATATTATTTCTTAAAATTCCTAACTTTTTTTTTTTTTTGATTTATTATCGAAATCACGTTTCGTGAGTCGTGTTCATATTATTATAATACCGACGAAAAAAAAAACCGCCTGTTTAATTGTTGCTTGGGTAAACGGATTGAATCATTGACCAGCAGCAGTATCCTCCCTATTATCAAACAACCCGTATAAATCGAATAAACACGAAGAATGCCACACACAACGGCCATCGAATTTATTTTTATTTTCATTTATATTTCTATTGCTAAAAAACACAAAGTCAACAGTACACCGAACAAAATCATTATTGTGCTGTTTTAACGGCGTCTCTTTTTATAATAACGGATTTAGTTTTTTTCATCTTGCTAATGGTATCATATCATAATAATAACGACACGAATTATGTTTTACTATTATTACTATTATTATTATTATTATTATTATTATTGAGTTAGTAAAAAGAATTTACATTTTAAAAAGTGGTAATGTTGTAAAATATGAATGTAAGTAAAAATAATATATAATAAGCTACCAAATATTTGAAGTACGTTATCTTTGATCGATTGTAATTTGTATGCAAACCAGTTTTTTCTACATTTTAATAAATATTCTTAAGTATAGGAAACATGAATGGAAGTATGATGTAAAGAAAAAAAAATACACATAACTACTTTGGGAGATATTAATGAAATATAAATAAAACAAAAATTATATACTGTAGGAGTTATACTATCATTATAGTTAATATTATTATTCGAATTTTATTGACAAGTTTGTTTAAGGTAATTTTAGTAGTCATATAACCTACCTACCTGTTCTGTATATTTTGAAAAGTAATAGGTAAATAACAAATTATTTCAAACAAAAAAAATATATATATTTATGGATTTTTTGAAATTAAGAATGAAATTGCGTCACAAATTGTAAAAATTATCTGAGTATGGACATTTGATTTTTCTGATAGAACAGAATTAATTGTCAACTGCAATTCTCAAGGTAAAAATTACTCATGTTAGGTGTGGTACGAAATTGAATTCATAAATACCGATGAATTATCAGAACGAACGTATAAATAGAATTTTACCATTAGTCTAAGTCGGATAAGAATGACACATATAATTTTCCTGAGTAGGGGAAATTATAAGAAAACGTTTGAAACGATAATGGTTACAAGTTGAATGTTTCGTCTTCAATGTACCTACGTAATAAAAACGATAAACGATTAACTTCTACACCAATAAAATTAATTTCAATGTTTTACGTACTGTTTTATGTACAGTAAGATGTATTATTTATCTATTTATTTTGTACATAAATTAGTTTTGTTATCACTTTTAAAGCATAATTTTAAAAACATGTATAAACAACATATTATAAATAATAGACATGTATCTTTCATGAATAAAATACTTAATATAATATTTTATCATATCAAAAGTATAATCAAATTATAGTTAAATTTACGAAAAAACCTAAATAGCGACGATAAAATATGATAAACAATTATTTCTATCATCGATAATTATTATTAAACTATAAATTTTGATGGCAATAGGTTATTACTTAATTCAATGATAATTAATGTAAATAATTAAATTCGTTATTTATATACATTTTTTCTATTGTTTTTAGTATACTTATATTACATTACGAAGTGGTGGCTTTTAGGGAGGCATAGAGACATCTTAATCTTGATTACGTTAAACATTTTCACTGGTGTAATATATGTCTAATTTGTGTAATATGTATATGTATGCATTAAATGTATATTTGAATAGTGCTGACTAATTTTAATATAGTTTATTTACAAGTATGTATGTATACCTACCAAAAAATATTGATATCCCGAGGCAAAATACTAAAGTCACCCCTAACATTAGAGAATAATCATGGTTGAGTTTTATAAAATGATTCTACTAAAACGTTCTGAGAGAATAAACAAGCTCCCTCCCCTACAAGCTACTGTATCGAATGTATATTACTCTACTGATCATATAACACAACAAAAGCGGAGTGTAATAGCTTTATAGTTGCCGAAGCTCCTTAAAAAAAAAAAAAAATAATTAAAACAAATATTTATTTAGTAATTATTATAAGCAAAAATAAACTTCATCTGATCAATATTGAAGTATAAGTTTTTTATGCATTTTTATGTGGGACGAAGTTTTTTCATAAATAAAAGATACTCAACACAGTGATAAATAATAATGATGAGAAAGTATATTAAGATATTAAAGTTTAAATATTTTTTGATTTAATCTTAATTATATTTTCAAGTTGTTTTTGTCGTATGATATATGCTTATTGCTATACTAGACATTTTATAAAGACTCGACTAAATATATTATGAACTAAAATGAGAAATTTACATATACATTTAGTTAATTAATATTAGGAACCCAATTATGTTCTTATTGTACTTTTTATTTCATTTAGGACACTAATGGGGTAATCTCTCTAGAGACTTGAGTCACAGTACTATTAGGAAAGAACCTTATTTATAGGCACAACCAGAGTAAGGATAATAAAGTAGTTTACAAGTTAAATATTATTAAGCCCAGTACTTTCTTTTGCCATAAATTATAATGCAGATAGTATTTTCTATCTATTTTCTATTAAAAATAATTTTTTACAAATGTATGTATTAAAAACTCATAAGGAATAATTTCATAGGCACGTAATTATTGAAGATATAGTGGCGAATTAGGGGGCAGACTAAAATGCTTATAGCTTAGTGCGACTTTGTTGGGAAGACGACTTTTTTTTTATAAAATTAAGTGTTATTATTGACTTATTAGGTATATTTATTTTAATATATTTTTTTTATATTTGTCATATAAACACGAATAAAAATAATTTTAAAAAGTTATAATAATATATTAATATGTACATTGTATGATGCGTATCTATAGGCTATAGTAAGAATATTACAATTATTATTACAATTTGAAAATATTTCATTTGTAATCAAATAATTACAGTTAGTTACTAGTTATTATTAATACCTATGTACTTATTGGAAACATCCGACTATCCGAGTATAAGTATTTTCATATCTGGCTGTTTATATTTCCGTTATGTGACTGTATAAGCATTGTTTTTTGTACTGGTAATAATGATATCTGAAGTAAAATAAAAGACATGAAATATTTTATTTTTAGAAGTTTTCTATTTTAAAGATTTAATATTTAATATATTTTTTTGATAAAAAAAACTAAATAAAATAATAAAATTTGAAGAGAAAGGTTTTGACCAAATATTGTTGGTTCCTTAGTAGAGTGATAGGGGGGGGGGGGCAGAGTGATTAAGCTTAGGGGCGCCAAAACGCTAAATTCGCCACTGGTTTTGTATGTAATGTTTATAAAGTA